GCCTTAAATTTACTTTCATTTTTATTTCACAGTTCTTGTTAATCCTCAAATGTTCAGGGAAACCATGTAAAAATATCTGTATGAGCAGAAAAAATGTAATAGTTCAAAAGAAGAACTCAGAGAGCCATTACTTTATTAAGGATAAGAATATGTTGTATCGGTTACATCTGAGTCATTGTAATATTTGTATTATTCTACAAAGAAGAATGGGACCAAAGAATTACAGAAAAATAGCATTTGAAGATGGACATTTTCGAAAATAAGATTTCATTATCTAATTATTTATTTTACATTGAAGGTAATATCAAAGTATTTCTAACATAGATTAGAATCAGTTACATTGCCAGATTGGCTCTATTTCAGCTTTTACTGATAAAAACAGGTTCAGTTGAAACAGAAAAACTTATTAACAAATAGTTGGTGTGTGCTCAATGTTCATATCCACCAAAGTTGCTAGGTTCTCCTTGACTCCAAATGGAGAATCTGTGTTTTGACCCATAAGACCATATCCAGCCTCCCTCTCGATGAAAATCAGTGAGTCCAATCCAGGTGGGTCCCTGAGTAGGATCAAAGTTCTTGATCAGCAAATTGACAAAATTCTGTTCCTCCTGACTGTGGATGGACACCAGGTTGCCTTCCTCTGACACACATAGGAGCTCTGCATCACCCCACGTCACCCTTGAGCCAAAGTACTTGTAGCAGCGATCCCCGAAACTAAACCAGAACAATGGACAGCCACCACGCATCAACTTCAGTTCCTGTTTGTCTGCAGGAGGTTCAGCAGCCAGGGTCAGACCAAACAAGAAGAGGAACTGTATCATCTTAGAGCCTGGTGGCATTAGTAGAGAGAGATTGTTCATTCTTGATGCCGTTTATCTTAAGTGATAGATGATAAAGAGAAATATGTAGAGGTGAATGGAAAGCTGATTTCTTTTATATCCCCTCAGAAAGGGTGTGTTCACTGTTGACATGACACGATTGGCCAGTGCTCTAGTAAACATGCTGTACACAGAAAAATAGCTTTTGAATGTTTAAGCAGATTATCCATATGTATACATATCTATCTATCTATCTATCTATCTATCTATCTATCTATCTATCTATCTATCTATCTATCTATCTATCTATCTATCTATCTATCTTCTATATCATTAAAGTTTAAGAAATTCAAGTGTTCCACAGTTACTGGTCTATTTTCTTGCTTTGTCCCTGTTAATGTGAATGATACACATGGCACATGGTAGCTTTATCGTTTCTTATTCCATCATGAGGTTGCAAAAGTCAAGAGAGATAAGGTAGAGCCATACCTTTTATAAAAGATAAAACTTGGTATCTGATCCTCAGAAGACAAGAACCCAATTTAGATTAGCCAACACGATGTCATGTCATAAACCATTAGTTTCCTTATTGAGGATTAAACTGATGCATTTTGAACTGTTTGTGCGCATCCAAGCATTAAAGGATAAAACTTAACTTTTGTTTTTTTCTGTACAGATGCTGCTGATCATAGCCAGCCAAAGAACAGGGTGATCCCTAAAAAAATTTGGAAACAAAATAAAATCTCTTAAAACAGATTTGACTAAACCTACCAAGGCAGTACGTCAGTTACAACAGACAAAAAATGTTAAATTGGTCAAGTAGACAGAAAGCTTTTACAATTGTTTTTTTTTTAAAATAAAATTAGTTCTGTATTTAACTCATTTTTCCCTCTTCAGCCAATATGTTCTAAACTCTCACAATATAAACTAAAGTTCACACTTAAAACTGCATTAAATCTAATGAGAATGCATTACAGAAATGTATACATTAGCTTTCTGAGCATTTGTAATGTGTTCAATTTAACAGGACCGTTTTATCGTCTGCTATTCAGTCCAGTTGTCTTATTTATTAGATTGCAAAATCTGTCCAAATACAGTGATGAAATTAAGTATATGAGGTATTAGAAATAGGTTAATAGTTTGTATTTAATTTGTTAAATAGGAAAAACTGCTCAGTTCTACAAGGTTCTATCAAAGGTTTTACTTCATTAGTTTATATTCAGGGGTGCAACTATTGGCTGTTTTAGTAACAAAATAATTCTAAAAAGATACTTTTATTAAATTGAAATTTAGGGAAACATTTGGAATAAAGAAAAAACCTTAGATTGCAAATAACTGCGGTAAGCCTAGCGCCATTATCCCCGCTTTACAAGCAAAATCAATGGGAACTATTATACATACCCTCAATCAAAAACAATTATTTTAGATTTTGAGAGGACTTCACCATTGAAATTCGTGAGAGCTATTGTTAAAGTGACAATGCCCACGTGCATGGCAGTTGGATATTCTAATATATCAGCTAAAAGGGAAAAGAAAATTAGTTATTTCACTTTTTCGATTCATTATCCACCACGGGTTCGTTGTTGGATTGCCAACCTGAAGAAGGAGAATTTGCAATCAAAATTCTGGCCAGAGAAAAAAACATGTCATATTTAGCCAACATTTCAAATAAGAATGTTTTCCAGATGACTTTGGTAATAGCGCGTTGTGACCAACGCCAGATACAGCACTGGGACTTGCTTAACAGCCGATACAGCACCGTGACGTAACAAACCGTTATGTTGCAGTAGTGCTGAAACACACAAAAAAAAAACCCTGAAGAAATCAGGAAAAACACTCATGAGAAGCAAGGAAAGGACAGAGAAACAGCAACATTTAAGCATACACAGGACCTGGACTGCTATGGTTAAAAGAAAATGTAACTACAACGAAGGCTGCGGAATGGTTCATAACTGAACCATTGAAAGGTATTGAAAGGTGATTCTCCGGGAGCTTCTTTTTTTAAGTTTCTTCAAACCATATTTTCATTTTTTATATTCCAGTCACTCCTGTGGCACCCACTCCCCCACCTACTTCTGGTCTTGTTTAAACTTCTTAGCTTTATTTAAATACAATTGGGAGGAAGAGGTGGGAAAGAAAAAAAAAAGACACAGCAGGATGAGTTGATGAATGCAAAATGTTTGGTGATGTGATTGATGAAAAACCTTGAAAATCATTGGTGGATACGAAATACGATACGATTCACAAACGTAGGCAGCATCTTGACAAAGCCATGATGGCAATTATTTTACATCCGAGTAGTATGCATTTCTTCCTATATAAACACACACATAATTTTCAAACAGATGGTATTGGTATGGTATTGGCCAATATTGCACAGCAAGGTATCGGTATCAGGGCCAAAAAATGTATGCAGAACCACGGATTGAATTCTAAGGAGGCACAAATGTAATTATAACATTGTTTCATTGTTGATTTCCTTAAAATATCAATTTATGCTTTATTGTATATACTCCAATTTTAGGGTATCTATATTTTTTTATCCTGCACCCTTGTGTTTGATAGGAAAGAGCATTAGGGCCGCTATGGTTCAACACATACAACCACAACCATAAAAATCGTTTTTTCTTTTTCTAAAATCATGATGGTATTTCATTGTAAACAAGATGTAAAAACTTCCTTGTTGATAGAAAATAATGAACATGGATCTGAATGCAATATTGACCACTGTAGTTGGAAGGAGACGAGGAAACATATTGTTTTTTGGTTCACTTCTTTTCCATTTTAAAACTCATAAATAATAACATACTAAACATGAGCATATATTTACACAAAAAATGTAAAAATTCAGTCTTTAGCTCTTACATTGTGAATTTTTTGTGATAATATTCATGCAAACAGGTTTTAAACAACAGCTTTAAAAAACAGAACTGTGTTTTTGTTGGCACATATAAAGCCTTAAAGCTACAGTGTGTAATTTTCAGCGACATCTAGCGCTCAGACTGCAGACTGCAACAACATGAACATCTCCCCCCCACCGCTTCTCCCCCCCAACAGTACGGCGAGCGTTACGGGACAAAATGTCTTCCACGACGTCCGCATCACCTACCTTCTCAAGTGATGAGGTTTGTTTACATAAATAATTTTACAGATAGTATTTCATTAGTCTGTGATAATAAATATGCCCGTTATTTTTT